TTATGATACAAGAAGACATAATAAAGGCAGACATGTTGCCAAGGACATTTGCAGGTCAGTGTTAAAACTCTATAAGGATGAAAGATAATAATTTGTAGAATGAAGAAGAGAAAAAGTTGCAGAACAGTTGGCTCATCATTCAGAAGACTCACTTTGCTCTAGCAAGTTGCATTCCCTTGTAGAAAACAAAAAAGATAAAAAAAATTAAAAGGAGATTAGGAAAAAGGACAATTATATTTTAAGAATTATATATTTGAAGATAAATGTGAACATATAATTTCAAATAAAGCTAATCCAGCTAAGATGGAATAATTGCAACCAAATCTCCCTCCCACCTGAAATAACCAAAATGTGAATAAACTAAAAATACATGAAAGAATGGTCTAAGACCATGTATATCAGACAATGAAGGACAATGATCCTTCAAAGATGAAAAGAAAACACAGTGAGCCTCATAATAATAGCACAGCTTACTGCCTTGAGAGAATCTCCAAGGAGCGGTAACTCAGGTGGGGCTTAATGTATTGTGTGAGTCATGGCACTGGAGTTGAGGTTCTAAGTTGACCAAGGCAATCCTGTTCTAAAGATCAAGTATCAGAGGAGAGAGCTGCTCAGAGAGAAAATGCCAGATATCTGCAGGTAACACCCCCTCTAGTACCCAACTTAGTACTGACCAGCTCATGCATCTGAGGAAACTATTCAAGACCACAAAAAGAATCATCCAAAGGGATTTAAAGGTAACAGTGCCTGGCACTCACTCAGACTTTGGAATATTTCCCAAAAGCTGGATTAGAAAGCCTCAAGATTCATAGGACATCAGGTAGAGTACTTAAATGGGTATTTTCTCAACAATAGAGAGAATAATTAACCCTAGAGGGAGCACTGCTCCAATCCACCTAATAAATCTTAGACCCAGAAGGAACAAACTGTTTCTAAGTAACTAGACTGCATCCTAGAACAAAGTTCAAGAACTCTTACAGAGCCCTGGCCAGTGTGGCTCAGTTGGTTGAGCATTGTTCAGTGCACCAAAATGTTGCTGGTTTGATTCCCAGTCATGCCTGGGCTGTGGGCTTGATCCCCAGTAAGGAGCTTGCAGTAGGCAGCCCATCGATGATATTTCTCATCATTGTTTCTATCTCTCTATCCCTCTCCCTCTCTCTCTCTCTCTCTCTCTCTCTCTCTCTCTCTCTTTCTTTCTCTCTCTCTCTCTCCCTTCCTCTGTCTCAAAAATCATATTTTTTTAAAAAGAACACTTACAGAAATTTTAAAAAAATCCAGCATCCCATAATGCAAATTCCACAATGTCTAATATCTAATAAAAAAACATGCAAACAAAGAAGACAGAAAATATGATCCATAGTGAAGAGAAAAATCTATCAATCAAAATACCCAGAACAGACATAACTTTTAGAATTAGCAGACAAGGACATTAAAACCATTATTATAAACATAGTCCATCTGTTCAAAAAGTTAAGTAGAAAGATGGAAGAGATTTTTTAAAAAGACCCATATCCAATTTCTAGAAATGAAAATTTCAATGTGTGAAATGGAAAACTCACTGGATGAGATTAATGGCAGATTCGATATTATAGGGAAAAAATAATTAACTTGAAGACATAATAATAGAAACTATCCAAAATAAAACATAGAAAATACAATTTTAAAAAAAGAGCAGTGCATCACTGAGCTGTGAGAAAATAACAAGCAGTCAAATATACATGTAATTGGAATTTACAAAGGAGAAGAGGGGGGAAGAAAATTATCTGAAGAACTAATGGCAGAAATTATTAAAAATTTGATAAAACTTTAAACCTATAGATTATAATAGCTCCTCCTTACTCATCTACCCAATCTCCCTTTTCTTGTGACATGATTTTAGATAGAGAAGTAATAAGTAAATGATTATATTAGCATTTTAAACATATCACTATAATAGCAATATGTGTGGATGACTGGAAGATAGGAGTTAATGAATATAATTTGCAATATAATTTGCAATATTACAGAAAAGAAGCAATCCACTAAACTAAAGGAGTGACAAAGAGGGTGAAACGAAGGACCCAAGTTTGAGACACACCTAGAATTATAACATTGAGAGTCCATGATTGCAACAGGATTAAATCAATTAGGGCATATAAGGCCTATCTAAGGTTTTTGGGGAGATAATCAAAGACTTTTTATATCAGAAATGTCTTTCAAGAAGGGCTCAAATGTTCAGATGGGTAGGAAAGTATTTTAGATGGAAGGCCTAGCAAAAGAAGTGGTACAGAAGAAGGAAAGTGCTACCTAATATCTCAAAAACAGCAACCACTCTGGTGGGACTTCAAGGGTCCTGACCAGGGGATAAGGAGAAAGAAGCTGGGAAGGTAGACAGAAGGAAGTTGCAGAAGGCTTTGAACAGCCAGGTAAACTTTAGAAAATCAAGGACAGCGTCTGAACAGGAGACAGGACATGTGGTTTAGGGTGTTAGAAGGGAGGAGGCAGGGAACCTGTTTGTGATACTATCATAATATTCCAATTGATGGCAAGTAAAGAGCTCAGTTGGCATAGATGCAATGGGAGCAGACAGATGCAAGAGACATCACAGAAGCAACGTGTTGGTGGGGGGCGGGGGGGAGGGGCAGGGTTAACGCAGGATTTCTGGAAAGCCAGAAAGCCTCAGGCTCTAAACTATGTAGGCCCTTTTCGAGTTTCCTCTTGTTATCCATGAACTCCAGTCTGGAGTTAGTAATCTGGGCCTATTCATGCCAGCATGTCCCATAAAGATATAAAGAGAGATACATAAGTTCCCAAATAAACATATACATAGATATAAAGATACCCAGATAGACTGATATGAAGGTACATCGATTCATAGATCCAGGTACAATGTATAATTGGAAAGATACCTGTTTGTTATTCTACCACTCAAAGGTGCATTACAAGGAGCAAGAAAATGTTCCAAATGTTGGCTCCAGACACTTCTAAAAAATTGGGTGATAGGTCAGAATGAGTGGGATAAACAGGAGTTCTAACTTTTCCAAACCAGTTTTTCTATCTCTCCACTCCATAACATTACCAGTACAGCAGGCTTGCTGTTTATTGAACATAAAGACACTCCTAATCCTTCCCCAAATGCCTTGAGTCCATATGGTCATACAAAAATCCAGTTTTAAGCTCTCTTCCTAAATACTCACAAACAGCACAGTGAGTGACATTACATTGTTGACTCAGCCATGCTAGGGCTTCAAGCCTATGTAATGTTCCAGGTGTTTCAAAACCAGGTTCAGGACACTGCAGTGCCCCGAAGGCTTTTATGAGAGCTATAATCCCCAGCTGAATGCAAGCAGCAACAATTTGATGGGTTACAGTAGTGGTGATGGCAGTTCACACATTTTATAAATGCTGATCATGCTTTAAGTCACCAGGTTCTTTGTTATGCAATGACTCTTGAATTACTAGGTAGCTTAGTTGGGTTTATTAGTTAATGCTACATGATAACATAGTAATAACAATTAACTCTATCCCATTCAAAAGAAGTAGCATAAAGATCCTACACTGTGGTTTAGAAAGCAGAGGTAATTATAGCTCTACCCCATAATTGCATGGTTTATCTATCTCTATGAGCGTGCCACTTGACGATAACAAAGGAGATGCTATGCAACTTTCATTGAGAAACCTGGGAGCCATGTGAAACACTGAAGGGATTTACCCATAAAACTCTGAACTTTTGCTAGAAGTTAAGATCTAGTCCAGGGCGATTTTAACTAGAGAGATAAAATGATTTAATAGGAAGAGGATTAACACAACAGGTATTGGGAGCTCATCTATGAATGAAATTATTTGTTCTCATTTGATTTTGAATTGAGTGAGTAGCATCTTGTTTAAGGCTTTCTATAGGAAGGTGTCAAAATGCCATGTGTTTTGGTGGTCTCTGATCCATTGTATCTATCTGCCTACATAACTACCACCCTGTCCTGCTGTCCTCACACAATAATGAAAGAGTTTGACATTAGAGTCCCAGCCTGGGTTTACATTTTGTCTATTGGCCAAAATTTAAATCTGCATGATTTTAGATAAATTACTTGCCCCATCAACTTCAGGTTTCTCATCTGTAAATTGGTACTAATAACTAATTTAGATTATTATTGGGATGGTATTATAAAATGCTTTGCAAACTCTAAATGCTAAAAAAATGATCATTCTACCATATACTTGTTACATGATATACTATGTTCATAGGAATGAAAGATATTAGATTAGAAATACTAAAATCTTTTGAATTAGATGTTTATGAAATGAAAACTATTATGTATAACTTGCTAAACCATCCTATTTTACATTTTTGCTATTGTCCTTGCTTGTAGAAGCACCATTTCAGCTGGATATACAATGCAGATGCTACTAAGCAAGGCCATGTGAAGAAATAGCTGCATAGCTAAGTACAAAAATATTATGTAGTCAACCATGGTTACTGCATAGATGATGAAACAAAATATGCCTGAAACTTTCATGTCCCAGGAGAGGAGATTAAACAGGATTATCTCACCAGTCTTAAAATATTTATCTATCAGATAGGGATATTTGCAATAATGTGTGAAATACTAATGTCGTTTCCAGTTATAAAGAAACAAAACTGGCTAAATTGTGATGTTCATTTCTCCACCTGAAGTGAAAACTGGCAATAAGGGAAATAATAAGAGATATCTGGGGCTAAGACTCTGGAAATTTTCTTAGGGCTTTGGAAACAGTATCAGTGTCTGCTCAAACCTGACACCAAACTTAACCTCTCCCACCCTCAAGCCAATTGGGATGAAAACCAGTTCCACTGTAGGCTTAACTTTATAAAACCGGTATTGTCCATCCAGAGTCTGTTTAAGCCATTTTAATAGATCAAGTCAGGATGGTATTCTCATAATTTAGTGTCATGAACAGTACAAATAAAGCTTTCAATGACATCTAATCAGAACTTTTTCTTTTCTCTTCCCTAAAACCATTATTCCATAAAGGTCCAGATTTCCCCAGCCTGTCGGTCATTACAACTACAAGCTGCCCAAGCACATTCGAAAGCCATTGAGCAGCTAATTTCCCAAGATAGATTTAAAAGACATGCGATAACTAAGGTTGTGGTCTCTCTGGCTCCCACCACACAAAGCAGAGTTCTGAAGTGCATGAGGATTTCTTTTGCTGATGGTGAGCTATTGTTTAAACATTGATTGCCTCTTTTTACTATAATTCACTTTCTCTCCCTCCTCATTCACCACCACCACCAGTCACAGACTTCATTCACAGCCCATCAGCTGAAAGTTCTGTGCTCGAAACACTGACAAAATGAGCCATTTACAGGTCAGATCTTGGAGAGAAAAAAAAAATAACACTCAGAGATATTAACTAAAACTTGAGTGAATTTTTCTTATCTACTCAAAAGACTTAACATGCTTTTTATGCCAATGAAGTCTGGGATATACAACAGAAAATGAAGTAATTCATGGTAAAGTAATTTCATAATGCAAAAAAAAAGGACTATACAAATGCAAGGTGTTTGAGAACTATATGGCATATCTCATTAGAGACTCAAGGGACCCTGGACAATTTTCCCAGCCTACTTTGCACAGAGCAAGTACATGGTGATTCGTGGCCCAGGGAAGGAACCACAGATTTTAAAATCAGGTCTAGATGTGAATCTTGAGTTGATTTCTTATCGATGATCATGAACTACTTAATTTCTCTGGGCCTCAATTCCTTATTTGAAAAAAGGAGTAATGTTACCTATCTCACAGGTTTTGGGGAGTCATAATGAACCAATTGACATAATTAACAATCTCTGGCACATAGAAAACTATCAATACATAGTAGCTATTATTATTATCTTATCATTACTATTTCTTTTGACTCTGTGATGTCAGAAGCAGAGGCTATTTTTCTCAAAGAAGAAACACAGTAAGGGTAATAATTAAACAGATATATAATATTAACTATGTGTCATGCATAATTAATGCATCATTCTATAAAGAAACTGAGGCACGGGGAGGTAAAGTAATTTGCACAAGGACACACCGCTAATAAGTGATGAAGCTGGATTTGCACCCAAGCATCCTGGGTGCAGAGTCAGTGCTGCCAACCATCACACTAAAGCAGGTGTGTTCCAAATGCAGGTCAGTTATGCTTGTGGTCCTTGTGATTATAAAAAGCAGAAGCACATCTAAATGAAATTGAACACAAAGAGTTTATTGTAAGCCTAACAGAGACTCCTGAGGCCATGAAACTAGGGTTCCTGGTCATGACTCAGAGAGCAGTTCTGAGTTCAAGGCAGTACTATCACCTCAGCAAAGGAGTAGCACACGCTGTACTAGTTCTCCTGTTTCCACCTTCAGATGAAAGTCCCTGCTCGCTCCATTGAATCTTTCAATTCTGTTTCCCCACAGTTCAATTCCTCCATAATTTAACTGGATATTCCAAGGAAAGGAAGCACCGAGAAGCAGTTGAAGGGGTGGTGTCCATTCCCGAGACAGTCAGGGTTCATGCTACAGACATGGCTGCCAAAATTTATTGTTAGTAAAAGCTTTAGACTAGAGAAAGGAACTATCTATAGATACTTCAAAACAGATCTTTCCCATTAGTACCTCGCTATCCTTTTAGCCTCCCCAGTGAGATGTGTTATCCCACAATGACTGTGCCCAGAGAGGGCCTGCCTCAGGTCAGTTGTTAGTGTGTTGGTTCTTAACTTTGTGCAGGAAAGATTTCACAATAGGCGTCCAGATGATTTTGACATTATGTTTATTAAAGCTGGGGACAGTGAAACAAAAGAAGGGCTTAAAGAAGCAATAGGTAAAAGAAGCAACAGGAGAGAGCCTAGGCAGGACTGCTTTGGCTCACTGAGAAATGAAGCCACAGTAAAAGAAGTGAGCCAAGGCAGGGCTGCTGCTCATTCACTGAAAATTCCGTGAAAAACAGGGCCTTGGAGACAGGTTCAGAGGGTAAGTCTGGGATGAGCTGCCACTGCCCGCTGCTCCCCTGGTTGCAAGTCCAATAGAGTTTAGGAGAAAGAGCAGAGATACAAGGCATGGATGTGCTCTAATGAGAGTGCACCACGGGTCCTTCGTCTTGAGGCTTTTTATCTTTTTTTGGCCAATGGGAATCCTAGGGAAAGTATCAGGGACGGTCTTACCAGAATATTCATTAGGTTTCCAGGTGTGTCCTTTAATATGTTGATTCATCAAAAGGTGTATGTAGAAGGGTCAGGTTACTTTCTGGCTAGTTTTATTTTTAAAGAATGTTATTGAAGAGGGACTGGGACTGAGGCTGGTCTGCCCTGGGACAGTCTGGAATGGTAAACTATTTGCTCCTAAGTGCCCTTGGTTAGGGAAGATAAAACCTTATGATTCATTAGCTGGCTATAAATTGCTCAAATTGTTTGGCCTAGTTTAATTAATTAGTCTCAGTTTCCCTTATTTCACTTGTCAATGAGTTTCCCCAGTTTCTTACTTTCCTGCCTCATAAGGAACTTAGTGAGTGAACTCAATCTTTGGAAGCAGTGAGCTTAAAAAATATACTTTACCATCACTGGCCACTGAAATTAGACAAGTTATCAAAACTCTCTAGGACTGCCTCCTCAGGTATGAAATGAGGATGATAATAATAATACTGCCTCATAGGTTTACTCTGAGTGTTAAGTGAGATGATGTATGTAAAATATTTAGGCATAAATCTTGGCACGTGGTGTAAGTGTTCAGTAAATGTTGCCTATATTTTTATCACCATTCCCAGCTCAAAAGTCTTTATAAATGGACTTCAGCCTTCTAAGTTTTGTGCATCTAATCTCTCTGTCCTCTTCCCTTCCAAATTTTCACTTTTTCTTTAATAGCCAAATAGTCAAGGCATCCAAGGAATCAAAAAAGGGCCAAAATTGGATACACAATGAAGCAGAGGAAGGCAGTAAGGAGACAACTGTGTGTGGTAAATACTGCTGATTGCCACCTTTTGGTCTTTTTTCCTTCATAACAAAAAAAAATGATATAGTATACAGCTCACATATTACATTTTCAGCCTGTTTTGCAGATAGATGTGGCTTTGTGACTAAAGTCTGATCAATGAAATGTAAGGCAGAATTCCGTGGGTCTCCAGAGAAACGTTGTGCACTGCTTCTCTTTTGTGAGGCAAATAACCTTTATCTTGCTTAAGCTGCTATTATTTTAGGTTTATTTGTATCAAAATATAATCCTAACATATGCAATGAACCTGGAAATCTTTCATTAATGTCTAATAATGAAAATGTTAAAGATAAATGCATTAACTGGAAGAGAATGGATAAGTGGAAAGAAGATTAAAGAAGGAAAGATGGATAGGATCCTTGCAATTGAAAATCATCTTCCTCAAAAGAAAAAAGACACATATTATAGCAGAGTTTTAGTTAGTTTGTCTAAGGTGATTAACCTAAAGGGAAATTATCATGATCTGGTACTTCAAACTAGATACACATTTAGATCAATAGATATCTACCTGATCCACTAAACTCCTGAACGTAATGAGTAAACGTCTTGAATTTTCTCTACTTTGCTTTCACTTTTTTAAATGAACATTATAAATCTTACCTTCCAAGATTATCTGAGCATTATTTAGGGCATCACCAAAAATATTTTACTAACATCCTCACACACTTTCTTGCCATCTCTGGTCAACCAAATTCTTTTTGGCCAAAACTATCACCTTTCATGTCCTGACTCTGAAATGAAACATAGAATTCAACCACCAACACAAATTCCCATAAAAATAAGAAGCAGAATAATGCAAAGGCCCCAAAATGTCTGAAAGGTCCGGCCTCCCATGTCTTGTGATCCATGCTTCTTTGACTGATGGAAGAAAGTTGTGGCTTTAAAATCCTTACTCAGTTCCAAAATCATCTAGCTTCTTTGAACTCCTGTTTTCTCATTGGTAAAATGTTATACTTTTTCCCAAAGTATCTTTCAAAATTTAGAAGATATTTATTCATCCATTTAATAAATACTTATCCGAATACACTCTAGGTTCTCTTCAGTCTTTGGGATCCAGAAGTAGATAAAACAAAATCCCTTCCCTCATGGAGCTTATGTTCCAGTAGCGCAAATTAAAAAGATTAAAAAGAAAAGAGTTGGAGGAAATGTTATTAAGCTGTTATCTTTGAGATTCTCTACTTCTCTATTTCACTTTTCTCTAGTGACACCGGGGCCCAACAGTCTCCATCTGCTAATAGGAGGTGCCAGAGGGGGACTAGAGTGGTTGGGTTGGAAGAAGAAACCTGCCTCCTCCATTTGCTCCTGCCAACAGCTCCCCATCAATGGCTCTTTATCCTGGTAACAATGGTTGATTTCAGAAGCTGCAAGTGGTTCCAATTTTCAGTTTTTCCACACTTCACACCTCACTATGCCCCCTTAAAGACCACCCCCCTAGATAAGAAGTGTCCCCTCCTCAGAGGTGAGAATTTCAGCTTTATGCTTCTAAATTTTAATTACCCAACTTTTTCCTGTTGTTCTCCAAGCCTGTATTAGTCCACTAGGCTTTCATAACAAAGTATCACAGACTTAGTGGCTTATACAACAGAAATTTATTTTCTCACAGTTCTGGAGGCTGGAAGTCCAAGATCAAGATGTGGACAGAATTGTTTCTCCTGAGGCCAATCTCCTTGGCTTTCTGATAGCCATCTTTTCCCTGTGTCTTCACCTGTTCCCTCTGTGTCTGTGTCCTAACCTCCTCTTCTTACAAGGACTCCCTCAGATTGGGTAGGAACCACCCATTTTAATTTAATCCTCTTTAAAAGCCCTATCCCCAAACACAGCCACATTCTGAAGTCCTGGGTGCTAAAACTTTAACATGAATTTTGGGGAAGATGCAATTCAGCCCAAAACATAGCCCTAGCTGCCTCACATAGTTAATACCTCTATAAAACCTCACTTGCCTTTCTTTTTTTTTTCTTTTTTCCCCCCTTTCAGTTCTCTAATACTTGGTTAAGAATCTTATATTAAATCCTCTGTGTTAACTTATCACATGGTTTCTGCATTTTGAATGGATCTCAGCTGATGCAGTATGTCTCATGGTGATAGTACTTTGGAGTAAAAATAAAGCAGAGAAAGGAAGTAGAAGTGCTACAGTGAGGGTGGGTTTCAACTAACGTAGGAGGGATAGGAAAGACTCCTTGGCAGGTAACATTTTAACAAAACCTGCAGGAGGTGAAAGAATAAGCCACGAGGCTTTCTTGGGGCAAAACATCTTCTGAGAGAAGAGGTGGCCTGGTGATAAAAGGCACCAGAATTCTTATTGAATATTGTGCAATGCTCATTGAGACAAGTCAGTGCAGAGCAAAGAACTAACTTGCTCTGATGGACTCTTTCCCATTGCAAGCATGTCAGTCATTGCCAGTGGGGAGCTGGGAAGTACTGAGTAAGTCTCACATTAAAATAATAATAAGAATTTTAGGGCTGGCAAGAATCTTGTAGTTCATCTAACCCACCTTTCACATTTTGTGAACCTAGACCCAGAATTCAGTTGACCGGGTTCATGCTGTTGATTGACTGTGAAACTTGAAACTTCAGTCTCCTAATTCTCTCAGTTCAGGAGTCTGTGTGCTTTCCACATCCATAATTGCGACAAGTATTGGGTTGACTATAAGCAAATAATCAGGGATATACTTCCACCAAAAACGCCCAGTCCTCAGATTAAAATAAAACTTATCGTTCGATCATATCTTGGGGGGAGGGAGAACATGCAAATATTTTGACATACGAATAAAGGCATGGGCAATATCCACAACCTTAATCAAGAAGTAACAATAATACTAATGTATACTCTTTATGGTGTTTTTTCTCAGCCCATATTGCAGATGTAAGCCCTTGGATTCTCTTCCGGGTCTAGACCTAAACCCAGTTGCTCCTCTGTCTTTTCCAGAGGTGCTTGAGAGTAAGGTCTTCCACATTACTTCATTTTCGTTAGCCCACAAGCTGCCAAGTAAGTGTTACCAGCTTGCAGAAACCAAAATCCTGGCCACTGACAGAACTCTGATGACAAGACTAATAGCATGAAGAAAGGACATGGCATAAACCATTTTGTTAGCCGTGTTCAGATCCTCATTTTGCAAGGCTCTCAGTAGGATATAGATGTTTTTATGCCACAAAGACAAAGGCTTTTGCTTTCTTTCTAGAGAAAATTGTAATATCATTACTACACTATTGGCTCTGCTTTGGACCCCAGAGCACAGGATGGCCATTGCACATTAGCTCCTGACAGGAAACCCAAAGAAGCAGCATGGTTGCTAAATATTCAATGCATGCTGCTTGCCTTTGTATGCCATAGGTCTCCATAGTGTGTTTAGCTTAAATGGGAACCTCATATATATCATATTTTTCTATATTTACTAAGGACTCGTTTCATTGCAATAATCATTAGCATCATTAATCATTAGCATCATTAACAAAAATTTATTGATGTTACATGCAAGGTACTGGGAGAAGTAAATAGATCGCACAGCAAAAATCTTTGTTACTGCCTCTAACATAGTTACCACAAGCTAAGAATAGCAAAGGCTGAAAAGACACAAGTGGGGAGGAGTGGATTAAAAGGAATAAAAAGATTATAAAGAGAGAAAATATGAGGTTATTATTGCATTAGGAAACTAGTAGTGATGCATTGTAATTTCAGTGAAATAAATGTAAAATTTCATTAAAATTATTTCTGTAGATAAATGTTGTGATATGTATTACATATATTAGTTTTAAATTTGGCTTCCATTATAAATATAGTTTGATATGACTTTAATGCCCTCGAAAAGCAGGATTTTTGACTGGCTGGGGAAAGCCAGCCCAAATGGGGGAAGATATCTTTTACTTTTTAGTTTATGCATGTGACTGTACTATATGTTAACATTTTTAACAAGGGTTTCTTAGTTTTATAATGAATGTTTTAAATAGATGAACTCAAGGTAACTATCAAAAAAGCTCAGCATGCAGAAGTGTCTGAGCATAACCAGTAGAAGAGAGGCTGAAAAGACTGACCAAATACTCTGATATTTCACTAAGACATTATTCTTGAAGAACAAACAGAATATCAAACAAATAGTGTGGTCTATATTTCACTGTATATTCAGGAAAGCAGCACAGGAGAAAGACCTAGAAATAAATAGGGTTAAATGCCAAAAATTATCTACACTAATAATAGAGAAACATGGTAATTAGCCGTACCTCCGCTACCCTTCCCATTGGCTAATCAGGGCAATATGCAAATTAACTGCCAGCCAAGATGGCAGCCGGCAGCCAGGCAGCTTGAAGCGAACATGAGTCTTGTTTGCTTCAGTGATGGAGGACTCCAACTTTCCCCGCCTGCCGCTGCCAGCCTCTGAGCTTGCAGTTTGAAACATTGTTACAAATATAGAAGCTAAACAAAACCCCAGAAACCTGCTTTCAGCTAGCGCAGCTTCAGCCAGCAGGACCGCAACATTGTTTCAATTATAGAACCCAAACAAACCAGATACCTGCTTTCAGCAGCCGAGGCCTAAGAGCTGGAGCCAAGCCTCAGAGCTAAAGCTGGCCCAGAATAAAAAAGAAAAAAGAAAAAAAGGAGCGGTTGGGAGCTTCAGTCACCCGCCAGCCTGAAAACAGCCCTCAGCCCCTCACCCAGACTGGCCAGGCACCCAAGCGGGACCCCCACCCTGATCCAGGACACCCTTCAGGGCAAACCAGCCGGCCCCCACCCGTGCACCAGGCCTCTATCCTATATAGTAAAAGAGTAATATGCCTCCCAGCACCGGGATCAGCGTGACAGGGGGCAGCGCCCAAACCCCCTGATCGCCCTGTGGCTCTGTGTGTGACAGGGGGCGGGGCCACAACCTCCCTATCCGCCCTGCTCTGTTCATGACAGGGGAAGGCGCCCCAACCCCCTGATCAGCCCTGCTCTGTGCCTGATAGGGGGTAGCTCCACAAACCCCTGATCGCCCTGCGGCTCTGTGTGTGACAGGGTGTGGCGCCCCAACCCCGCCCCCCCACGGGCCCTGCTCTGTGTGTGATGGGGTAGAGCCATAACCTCCCCATCGGCCCTGCCCTGAGTGTGACAGTGGCGGCGCCCCAACCCCCTGATCGGCCCTGCTCTGTGGGTGATAGAGGGCGGCACCCCAACCCCCTGATTGGCCCTGCTCTGTGCGTGACAGGGGGTGGCGCCGCAATCTCCCCATCGACCCTGCCTTGAGTGTGACGGGGGCAGTGCCCCAACCCCCCAATCGGTCCTACCCTGAGTGTGACTGAGGGTGGCATCACAACCTCCCAATCCGCCCTGCTCTGTGCATGACAGGGGGCAGCGCCCCAACTCCCCAATCGGCCCTGCTCTGAGCCTGACCAGGGGTGCACCTAGCGATTGGGCCTGCCCTCTGCCACCCGGGAGCAGGCCTAAGCCAGCAAGTCGTTATCTCCCGAGGGGTCCCAGACTGCGAGAGGGCACAGGCCGGGCTGAGGGACCCCCCCTCCCCCCGAGTGCACAAATTTTTGTGCACCGGGCCTCTAGTCTATATATATAACAGCCTAAGTGACCAAACTACCGAACGACCGACTATAATGCACACTGACCACCAGGGGACAGCCGCTCAATGCAGGACCTTCCCCCTGGTGGTCAGTGAGCTCCCACAGCAGGAGTGCTGCTCGGCTGAGACCCACCTACCCTAAGGCAGCCACTCACTCCCTCAGTAGTCCTGCAGGTCCAATCTCCAGAGAATGGGCTAGGGCCAGGCACCGATGGATCAGCGCCACTGGCACAATCCCAATAGCGTGCCACTGGCCTCCTGGAAGTCAGCCTTGGGCACCACTACCGCTTCCCCACCCTAGATGCTCTGCAAGGAAGAAACAATATAAAAGCATCCACCAGGTTGCTCCCGACAACCAGCGTGAATGTCAGCAGGACGGATCTAGATCCTGGGCCAGCAAGGGCATCCCACTGCCCACCCAGAGGGCCAATCTTATCCCGCCCCCCCCATTTCCCTTGGGACCCCACCCTTGCACGAACTTATGCACCAGGCCTCCAGTATAATAAAGAAAGAGAGCTTTCAAGAAGACTCCACAACAAAACAAAGCTATTGGGGTATTAGCCCTCCACTCCCAAGAGAATTTGATCACTTCTGATCAGTGATAAGAACTGTAAAAATGATCTCAGAATTAATATGCCTAACTATTGGCATATGTATACCTACAACAATTAAACTTTGAGTGTTCATTGCTAATTTATTCAAGTCAATTTCTCTAAGATTAATTACCAATATTTACTTTTTGTCATTAGCATTTTGGTATGTGTGGGTGTTTTTTTTTCTTGTTTTACTCAACTTGTTTTGTTTTGTACTTGACTTTGATATTATTTTTATCACCAAGTGGAAGACTTAGGCAATAATCCGGAAAGACAAGCTATGGAGGCCTGGGGCTATTGGGAATTCTGCAGGAAGGAGGTGAGATTCAAGCTAAAATTCAATATTTGGATACGATTTTCTTTCATTTCCAGTGGAAAGCAGAGCTAATAAAAATGTGTCATTCTGCCCTCCCATGCCCACCAAAAAAATAAATAAGCCAATCATTTTTTTTTTTGGACCACCTGCCATGGTAGCTTTAGTCAGTTAGCTACGTTTATGTGTAAAACATACTTGCTTTGGTGGGTGTGATTCAGTTGGTTGGAGTGTTGTCGTACACCAAAAGGTCACTGGTTCGATTCCCCGGTCAGGGCCCATACCCAGGTTTCAGGTTCAATCCCCTGTCACTGGTGTGTAAAGGAGACAACTGACAGATCAATGTTTCTCTCACACATCACTGTTTCTCTCTTTCCCTCCCCCTTTCTCTCTCTCTAAAAATCAATAATAATTTTTAAAAACATAGATTGTTGTTAATATTACTTATTAACAACATAAAATAATATGCTTTTATTATTTTAGTTTCCTAAATATTAAATGCTGTATAAGCAAGCATAGTCCTACACACCGGACTTTAGAAGACAGAAAATGCACACCTTTTGCATAAATATGGTGTCCAACACAAGCTGCCAATGCCTCACACAGATCAGCCCACCTCGTTCACTTCCTCTCTGATCTGATGTCCTCTGAGCCAACCCACAGAAAGAGCCAACATAGCAGTCGCTCATGCTTGATCCCAATAAGCTGGAATAGATATCACAACTGGTAGCAGAGATGCAAGTTACATAAACAGAGAAGAGCTTTACTGTCCACAGCTTGTAAAACTCCAGCAGGGTCACTGCTCTTGCTGCTCATACACTGGCTCTCATCTGCCTAGTCCCTCCCTACACCCAGTCACTCTTGTAACAAGGCTCCCCTGTGCTCACAGCTTCTATGTGGAGAAGGCCACTGGCCACCTGGAGCTTTATCTGCCCACTGTGTCATTTAGAGTCTTGCCTCCCAGCGTCCTCTATGTCCTGCACTCAGCATCCACTGTCACCATTATCGTTCCCAGCTCTTTCTGTAAAATACCACGTCCCTAGTCCTACTTACACCTGCAAAGCTGAAGCTGCAGGTGTTTATCTGTACAGAAGTCACCAGCTGGCAGTGCAAGTCAGGGCAGTTCCCCCAGCAGCAGAAATTAATATGCATGGGAGTTGCAGGCTCAGGCAGTGTTTCTTTCCAATTATATTTACTCATTTTCGTGAGGTGTTATTTAATTTCTGAGGTTTCATGATAAATTGTACCGAAGCCATTCAGTTCCCTAACGCAATTTGTGATTCCGTTATGTGAAAAGACACTGCATTAAATAAAAATTAGTCTTAATATTAGGCCTCTCTGTTCTCTAAGCAGGAAACTCATCGCAAAGCCATTCTCATTTACAGTAATACATCTCTGCTTTGAAAACCGTGATAGCAAAAAGTGTGCAAAGGAGAAGGAAACTGTGCTTCAAAATGTCAAACAACATCTGTTTCCCATTTCTGAGAATTACAGAGCTTTCTCCAGCCCTTTAACCCTTTAGCCCACATTGTATCTGCCCCTTCGTAGTTTATTAGCTTTATCTTCAGAAGCCTTTCAGTAAAATGAAACCTGATATAGAAAGTGAATCTCTGCCTTAAGTTCTCTCCAAGGATTAGGGACGAGATTTATTAGAACAACACCGCTCATGCTGTGAGCCTGTAAGGTTGTGTCAACATTTCAATTATAAACCTGTGCTTCCAGGGGCGTGTTCACAGTCTGTTGAAAAAAATTAATAATTCCCCAGCTTCAAATTTGGAAAGTGGGATAGTCATTTGAGGATCCGTGCTTGGCTTATTCAAATTTTTAAAAGCTGCATGCGCTTGACCTTTCCTAGTGTGGAAAATTATATCCATGAACGTTTTGTACTCAAAACTGTATCCCACAGTTAAAGCAAAAAATGTAATAGTGAGAATGATAACTTCTATAATTAGTTATATAATTAGAGCAAAAGAATCTAAAGGTGATCATGCTGGGACACTGCAAAATGAGTCAGTATTTGAACATTTATTGTGAGAACAAGGCAGAAGCTATTTTGTCACATGCAGTCATAGGTCGGTGACATTGTTCTTCCAGCTGTCACTGTAGGTCCCCCAAGCAGCTGTGGTTTCTCCTAAGTGGTCTGCAACAAGCCCCCTGCCATCTAAAAGAACAATGGCTTAGGTGACTGGCAGAAAGGCATGGAGGATCCAGGGCAACCTGCAAAACAGCGGTGAATGGATGAGTTCATCTTTGGTGCCCTCCTCCTCACACTCCGTCGCCCTTCTCTGATGCCCCATGTCCTCTGTCTCTCCTCACACTGTCCCCTTAGCCTGTCATCCCAAATCATGGCTCTGGCTCTGAGACTTCCTCCTTTCACCTTCCTTGCCACCTGACACCACCCCCCAGTTAAAACTCACCTGCTACCCACTTGATGGATCAAGAGCCACCTATAAGGTTAGAAAGGATCTATACTGGGTTCTTCCTTATTTACTGGCAGCTGCTAAGTCTTCGATGTTTGTCTGTCTCAGAGTTTTGTACTTTTGAAAGGAGCATAGCTGGTGGAATGTGAGGCTTCCTTCTCTACAGGAGCAATGAGAAGGCTTTTTTAAGAAAGAAGTCTAAAGCTCTCTTCAAATAACATTGCGTAGGCAACAACAGACTTCTATAATTAAGAGATTTAATTAATTTCCCATTTTTCTACACCATGTAGAGAATTGATCATAAAATCTAAGTTCCATACGGTCAGGGCTTTGCCTCTTTGTCTTCTGCTAAACACCCTAGCACTTAAGTCATTGTAGATATTCAATAACTATCCAGTGAATGGAGGAATAAAGAAAAATGAATATATCAACTGCTTCTTTATCAGCTGGGAGAGCCTTAGTAACAAGTAACTTGCAAACACATTTCTTCAACACAGAAAAAACTATTACAGTAAAGAACTGATTACCTATATATTGGCATCTGCAGTGGCATGATGAAGAAAAATATTACATAAGAAATAAGTGAGTAATTAAGAGAAATACCCAAGAGCAATGTTTTTTCCTTTTTCTGACTTTTAAATATCACTCAAACCTTTACAATGTAGAATTTGAAACTGAAAGAAAGGTTAACTTTTCTGTCTCACCTCATGCACCTCCTATGTCTCAAATATAAAAAATATCTAAGAAATTAGTATTTTAAAAAATACACTGTGTTTTGCTAATGTTACTAACCAGACTGTAAGTGCCTTGAAGGTAAGCAGGTACAATTTCTCTTTCATTTTTATACATACAAATGTCCAGATGGTGGTAACACAGAGAACATGTTTAATAAAAATGTGTGACTGATGGCTTCTTTAGAGTCAAGACTCCCTCTTCACCTCTCCTCTGCAGCACACATCTTCCCGAGACTTCTAAGGAGCATCGAATCAGCTTTCATTTTCAGCTACTCTCTGCCGAGGCTCAGATAGAGTGAGAGGAGATCAAAGGAGGTGAGACAAAAAGAGAAACGGTCTGACAGTAAGATCTTCTAGGTATTTAGACAATATGAGTGTTTGAGGCATCTTCATGTATTGCTTATCTGTAGTTTTTTTACAACAGACAAGAATTACCTCTTTGAAGAAAATGATGTATTCATTGTTTAATCAAGTCTCCTGCCACTGTGAGCTGAGCAACTTCACTTGGCCACTTAGCCACTCTTGGTCCACCTCTCCCCTTGTACCTTTAGAACAGCTAGACCAGATGGTCTCAAAACTATTTCCAGAGCTGATATGTCGTGTTACTGCAAATATCTTCTGTTATTTCTATGTGGCTTTTCTGGAGCACCCAAAGTGCACTCAAGTTCCCTGTTAATCGAATTCTACCTCAATTAGCCGACAGAGTTCTGGTGTTTTCCACGGAAAGTAAGGGTACTCATTGCCTAGAAGTTTCCCTTTTCTGGTCCATTGCAGTAAAGGAGACCAAAAAAGCATTGTGCTCCTAAGTGTTTATGTCCTTAGTGCTTAATAGCAGTTTCTTCATGAGAATAAGAAAAACAAAATCTCCACGCCCTGGCAAAATCAGTCTAATTTCATCCCAGCAAGTAACAACAACAAAAGCAGGGCTTTTTTTTTTTAATTAAATTCTTTCAAGCCGTGTGGAGCAATACTGCTGAGTAGATCTTGTAAGAAGAGATAATTAAAACACAAACAAACTAGTTTTTACATTTGGAATGGCAACCACTGCACATGCTCAGGACGGCCAGCCCTCACACACTCCCAAAGGATCCTTAGTATACAGACCAAGTCAACTTTACAAATAGGCTCAGTAGTTTGCTAGTGAACTGCAAACCCCTCCACACTGGGCATCAGGCAGGATATCTCTGGAAAGTCAGATTTTTCTGAGATTTTTTCCACTGAAACTGGGTAAAGAAATGATACCTTTGGCATCACAACAGACTGATGGGTCTCAAAAAAAGAGCTTTCTGCCCTGGCTGGTGGTTAGAGCATAGGCTCATGCACGGAAGTGTCTCAGGCTCGATACCCTGTCAAGGGCACATACCTGGGGTGTGTGTGGGAGACAACGAGTAGCTGTGTCTCTCTCACATAGAGGTTTCTCTCTCTCACTCCCCCCCACTCCTTCTCTCCCTTCCACCCTCTCTAAAAAAACCCTCAGTGAGGATTAACAACAACAACCAAAAAATTTAAAAAAGAGCTTTCTCATTCTGGTTGAGGTGAGGCAATCAGGTATCTCTAGGCCTTTTAAAAGGGCACTAAATTGGAAGAAATAAAGGAAAATATTTACATACTTATACATGTGTCTTTCCCAAAATACTGGTAGGTTCTGTTTGCAGATTCCACATGATATGAACTGATTTGGAGTGATTAAAAATTCCACCACACCATTTACAATGTTTCTAGGGGATGGTCAGTATAGTTGTCAACCTCATGACACGTAGTAGGGTATATTGGCCTGTGTGGATTCTGTGCCCTAGCTTTAAGAAAACATAGCATTTGGTGGGAGAGAAGCTTAAATCTGAAAAAAAAATTTTCTTCCTCTGTGATCTTGGAAGTCATATCCTCACTGAGTTTACATTGAAATCATATTATCATTGTATGTATTTTTTCTTATTACAAACATGTCATGTTTGTTAGGTTTATAATAAACATAGTCAGGGCACCAAACTAGTAAAAAATAAGTAAGTGAGCAACTTCGGTGGATGGAATTACCCACATCCTATTAGATCTCTGTAACTTGACTCTTGTGTCTTCTCTCCCAAGAAAGTCTTCCCTAATCTCATCTTCCCATCAATGCTCAGCTCATTTATTCACTCATTCATTCACTCGCCAATGCTTATTGAGTCAGATTTCTATGTGCCACATGAAAATTTACTCACATCTTCCACTAGTTAAAAACAAAACCCTGACCACATCTGTTTCTCAAGCTATGGCCCTAGCTCTCTCCTTTCCTTCACAGCCAAGCCTCTAAAATGGTTGTCCTGGTAAACTTTCTTAACTTGCTCATCTTCCATAGTTACTGCTTAACTAAAACTTCTCCTACTGAGGTCATGAGTTGTCCCACATAAATAAATCCCAATAGACAAGTCTTCATTTTACTTGACTTCTCAATAGCATTTCACACTCGTGTACCCTCACTCCTTATTTGGTTTATATGATGCCTGTTTTCAGGTTTTATTCTCCTATTTCTAGCCACTTGTTTTCAGGGCCCTGCTAATTTCTCCTCCTCTAAAGGAATTAGGATTCTACAAGGAATAGTAGCCAGACATGAATGACAAATAATTCATATTAAGTGTTATGAGTAACTCACAAATTAGTGGGAGGCTCAGAACTATGTGGCTAGTAAAAATACCCCAAAACATCCTAAAGGACTAGCTGGTCCTTATAGGCAAGTAACCTCTGGCAGGAAGCCAAGCACTAGACACTGACTGGTACCACCACATCCGCTGCTCCAGGGACTCAATGAGGCTACAACCTCATTACTGCTGCACACTAAATGTGGAATCCAGTTTTGTTGCCACCCACTAATACTGACAAGAAAAATCTCAACATTCTCAGCTAGGTCCTGAATCTACACCCAGTGGCAAGTGCAACCTTACCTGCAAGAGAGGCTGCAAAGTCAAGCATGTGATGTTTATGATACCTGTCATGTGAGATATCTTGTCCCCAAACAAGTTCATAAACAGTAGAATTCCACAAACACAGGAAGATAGTTTAGGGACCAGGTAGGAAAAAAAAAAGCATAGCCACTACTTTTCTAAATCAAATTTTGTCTTAAACTTTCTCTAAATTGACTTCTTCTTTTGCCTTGGCCAGTGTAGCTCAGTTGGTTGGAGCATCATCCCATACATCAAAAGATGGCAGGTTCAATTCCCAGTCAGGGCATAACCCCAGGTTTTGGGTACAATCCTCAGTTGGGGCATCTGTGGGAGTCAATGACTGAGCTATCTATGTTTCTCTCTCACATTGATGTTTCTCTCTCTCTCTCTCTCTCTCTCTCTCTCTCTCTCTTTCTCTCTCTCTTTCTCTCTCTCTCTCTCCCACCTTTTCTCTGGAATCAATTTTTTTAAAATTAAAATAAAAAAAAAATAAATTGACTTCTTCTCTTGGGAAGGTTCAGGTTCACATATCCACACACATCTCTATTTCGATGTCTCATAGCTGTTTCGACCTTAAGAGGTCTAACTCTGAATTCTTGCTCTTCATGGCCATCTGCCTGTCTTCTTCATCTAAGTAAATAGCAATTCCACCCATCCATTTCCTTATGCCAGAAATCGGATGTCTTCCTGACATCTACTTTTTTTAAACTTCCTCATCCAATTTACAACCAACTCCTGTTAATTCTGCTTCAAAAATATGTTTCTAATTTGTTCCCCATCTCCACTGTTACCATCCTACACTAATCTACCATCATCTCATTATCTTCTTCTTCTTGAACTATTGCAATAGCTTCATAATTGCCTTCCTGCCTTCATTCTTGACCGTATTCAAATCATTCGCCATGCAGCAACCAGAGTAATCTTATAAAGCGTAAGTCGTATGATGTCACATCCTGGATCAGAATGCTAGGATAGGCTTCCATTTGAAAAAAAAATAATTTTCAACATGACCCTTGTGATCTGATGCCTGCTGAGTGCTCCAAGTTCACCTTGGACATTATTCTTCTATCAAGGTTGTGAACTGATCTAATCCATGCTTTTGGGGTACTGACTTCAAATTCTGTGTGGTAAATAGCACAATCCATTAAAAAACTTTGAGGAGGGTAAATTTTTTAACTACTATCCACAACCTCACAGCTAGATTGAAATGAAAGTAAATCTAGACCAAAATCTGTCATGCATATTTATTTATTAAGTACATTTTTATTAGCAAGTATATTCATTTACTAGGGCTATCATAACAAAGTACCACAGACTGGGTATTTTAAACAACAGATGCTTACTTTTTCACAGTTTAGGAACTGAGAAGTCCAAGATTCAGGTGTCAGCAAGGTTGGTTTCATTCTGAGGCCTCTCTCCTGGGCTTGCAGATGGCCACCTTTCTGTTGTGTCCTCACACATTCATTTCTTGATCTGTGAGTCATCTGTGTCCTCATCTCATTTTAAGGATACTAGTCATATCATCTCTAAATACAGTCACATTCCAAGGTACTAGGACTGCAACATATGAATTTGAGGTACGCGATTTAGCCCATAACAGTAAGCAGAAGAACAATGTACGCACTCTGTGAATAAGCCTGCTGAAGTCCTAGCTCTGCACCCCTTTGGATAATTTGACTTCTCACTGTTTGAAAAGCCCATTGATGTGGACAACATTGCAAAGGCAGTATTCCATTAGCTCTACGGGCACCAGAAAACCGTAATTCTTTTTAACAAGTGGATGAACACAGAATCATTTAGGGACTCAAGTCAGAGGTCCCATTCTGGAGCCCCAAATAAATCTCTTTTCCAAGTACCATGTACTTCTTCTCAGATGGCATATGACAATGTTCATCAATTATCTATCTGTTTAATGTTGGTCACCCATAGGGTCCATGAGAGCAGGAGCTGTGTCAGTTTTGCTCACCGCTACAATCCCTGTGCATCACATTTCTTATTACTTAGTTATCCGATTTTTATTTAGCCAGTCAGTCAGTAGATGTGATTTGAGTACCTACTATGTGCCAGAAATGAAAATACATGTCTTTGCCCTCATAGAACTTACTGCCTTGTAGAGAAGGTGACTCTCAAAGCCATAATGAAAACAATCTCTGACCTTGGCCCAGGAAGGAACTAGTTTCTCTCCCAGGACTCCTGTATCCAGTCATATTGGTCACACTATGATACTTTCCTCTTCAATGGACTGTAAGTTTGAGAGCAGAGGCATTTTTTGTTTTGCTTCTTTATCCTCAGTATGTAGCTTGAATGCTAGACACATAGGTCTTCAGTCAATGATTGTTGAGTAAAATCCAAAATGCAAATGGTGAGATATCTAATCAATAAAATGCTGAAATTAAA